GTCTCCTCGAATGTAGGTGCCTGCGAATCAAATTTTGAAAGAACCTACAACTGTCTAGCCTATCAAATGGTCGTGAATGTTTGAAAACGGATACTGATATGTTTCTAGATCATCTTGTTAGCATAATTAAAACTGTAAATTATCATCTGGCTAGAATACCAGTCCATGAAAGTGAGAACAGAAAAGGACTTTCACCGACGAATATAGTCGACAATTTTGCCGATTTTCTACGCGGTTGCAAATTCCAAATTTCGCTGCTCCTTTGTTTGAATCGTTGAGCAAATCATTGCATACTTTGCAGTATCAATATTTGGCATGGTTTATTTGAAAAATATCCAATACACACAAAGATACTTGTTTATTTTGAGGTGTGCGCAGTTTGGGAATTTGAGTTCAGACTCGGATCTCAAACTCCGCCAAACCCAGAGACCAGATATCCTGGATAGAGCTCTCTCCATTGCTGAAGAATATGATTAAACTATTCGGTGGGAGTACAGTGGTGATCAAACTCACAGAGTGTATAAACTGCCTATATGTTTCAATCTGTCAAACAATACCATTAATTTTTTCTCATTTTCAATTCCCTCGTTTTCAGTTCAGGCAACAATCACGACCTTGTTTCCGGCACAAAACCTAAACAGTCAGAATATTCTCTGGCACATAAACGGGGTTCCAAGAATAGTTCGGATAAGAAGCGCAGGTATCATACCACTCGGAACAACCGTGTCCCTGGTTTGTCCAACAGCCTTCGATATACTACAAATTCGCAAGGTGATGAGATGCGGCACAGGTGTCAGAGTCGCAAATGGTTTGGTAAACTCAAATCAAGTAGAGCAGTGTGTCGCAGCTGTACTCAAGTCTCAACGAATATCTCCAGTGAAGTTCAGGCAGTTTCAGCCACCTGTATTCCTCTATCCCTCAGTCAACACATGAATGAGATGGAACATTACCAGGCTGTCACTATTGTGCCACTGACAACGGAAAACTTAATCAGGTCTGTGACGTTAGTTATATCTAGCTTCGTTTAGTTGTTTTGTTCATGGGACAAGCCGTTTCGTATCAGGCAAGTGTTTTGTGCGCCCCACTTAAATTACTTTGATTGGATAAAATATTTAAACCTTTTCTGTGCGACATTACGTGTGTTCTCCTCTGAGTGACCTTATCATGTGACCCTACTCTAAAACTTCAGCCAGCCAGCCTTTCACGAATGAACGGATGGCGTTTTCCATTTGGTGCAGCGAAAAAGAGCATTTTTCTGTCTTTCTTTCCGTTTGGCCCGACATTTGGTCTCTAAATTGCTAACTCGCCTGTCGTTTTATTAGGTAAAGCTGGTGCTGAACAACGCGTTTCCAGGTCAAAGTTTGGTCGATAGATAAATACTGGGTTTGAGGTGGATTCTGTTGCTTAAGTTGGTAGGATTATCATGGAACTCTATGAGCGGCGCCGATCAGATCATGAACATTTAGTTCACCGACGTCAGTTCATTGACTTTCGCTTGACTGTCCTCTTTTTTATCGAATCTTCACGTGACTGAACGTTAGGTTATTAAAATATCATGGTATCAACTGGGTAGCTGTGAAATTGCATTCAAGATTTGACCCTAAATCTCTGCTCCAAACCACTGAACGATTGTCATATAGGTGTCTTTCTTTTAAGCTAAACACTTCTCACCCATCGGACACCTTAACTGCAATCAGTTTCCAAGCCACACTGAAGGACTGAGCATTTTGTTAGTTCCAAGATATTCATTTGCGAATTCATGCAACATCCACAGGTTACCTTGCCAGTGGATACCGGGTTTTATTCAAAACTAAGTTCGGATGTTGCCAACATCTATGCTTCTGTCAAAACCCTCGATTTTGTATCCTTTCAAAAGTACACGAAACAACCCTGGAAAAAGCAATAAGCTATGGGAGCAAAGTATGGATTGCGACGTTCGAGTAAACCTAACACAGACGATATACGATCACAGCACTCAAGTGATGCAAACGTTAAAACTCTAGTTGTTCTGGCTGGTAGAACGATGTACACAAACCAAGTTAAGTTAAAAAACGGATAGATAATGAAGGAAACTGAGTTGTGCATTTCAATAGGAGGTCCTCACACAAGAATACCAAGTATCCGACAGACACATTCGTTTGCGTGCCAATTCGGTTTTGACAGGGAACCACCCGAAACTCAGCTGAATCTCTCGTTTCTGATTTTCTCACAAGTTTACTGAAAGCTTTTCGACAGCCAACGATCGGGTTCTCCCTTCTTGGGGCTCATTAGGTAGGTGTAGTCCTCGAGTTTCCGTCATACGGTTGACGGAAGGCTGACGGGAAGTTGGGGACTGTGCTTATTCAATGAGCCCAAAGAAGGGCGAAACCAGTAGTGGGCTATTGAAGAGTTTTCAAAAGACCTGGGAATGGTTCTCTTTTTGATGGCGATTCTTCGCATAAAGACGATTTACTTGGTTCCATGGCTGATATATAATGCAAAATCATTGCTCCACCTGTTGTACAACAATTCTCATTGCTCGAATTTCTGGCTAGTGTCCGTGTAATTCCTCAGGGGTGAATTAGTCAGAATCGCAGCGAAAAAGAGCAAAAAACTGTCATTATACTTCACATGGCCGTCGCCTGATTAGTGAAGAAGGCACGCTCACGTCTGTTCTGTATGATTGCCGGTTAGTCTTAACTAGGCCGACCAACGTCGTTTCGGTTGACGTAGGCAGAGTATCCAAGAAACGCTGAAGGGTGCTGTGTGGACCCTTTGGCAATCCAAAGATTCCTGATTCAACCGAAATGGCTTTCTATGTCAGCCATTCGATCGGCATTGATCAACCCAGACAAGCGCGTGATGTCTCAAACCACAGACTTGGGCATCCCTGTTTGACCAATCAGAGTTTAGTCTTGTGGCGTCCTTGTAACGGCAGTTGTCAGTTCGGCTTCGTTTTTGGTAATTTGACTCCTCAAGATGACTAGCCGTGCCAACCGAAAGAAGGGAAGAAAAATCTAAAGAAACACGAAGTATGGAAGACTAACGTGCGCAGTCTCATATTTTTACCACTAATTTAAGCTATGCGTCTTCCGATATGAACGATACATCATAGCATTTGAAAAAAAAAACATAAAAATACGGAAATTTCAAAATCAAAAGTTCAGTATACTTTCATTTATTTCCCATGTCATATGTTCCGTAGGCAAACTAACATTATCGCAGCCCTTGTACTTCAGTCGATTGGCATTGTAGCTAGGCAGAAAGAGGTTCCAACAGCTGAACGATTTATTATTTTTTTGTCATCTGTTTCTCTTTTTGAGGCATACACGGATCCACGACTGGGTTTATCGATATCAAGTAATGAACGAACAGCTAGTTGGTGCAAGTCAGACATATATCAACCAGCAGTTTGTGCAAGTAAGTATACGAATGTTTATAAGGAAACGCCGGAGCGACGAATATTGGTTTGTTTTCATAAGAACATCAATATTTTATAACTCTAATAACCCGTTTAGTCTGAATGAGATCAAATGTATGTTGCCCCACCTTCTAATCATGTATACATATGAACGTACAAACAGTGGAACAATCCTTGACGATTGACCAGTAAAAAGTGTCCTTATGTTGAACTGTATAACCGGCTTACAATGCCAGATGCAAGTGGCCAGCTAAATAGGATTACGTGAACCCAAAAATCAGTTCCGATCATATTTGTCCTAGTGTGCTATTTGACACCACTACTTGCTGCTAACGTTGACACTGCTCACGCAATGATATGACGTGTCACGTGACGTGTGAGTCTGGCGGTCATTTTTGGGGAACTTATAACCCATGTGTTCTAACAGCTATGTTGGGCAGAGTCTATTTTACTCCAGTTGTCACCTCATGCCAGTACTCCGTTGGGTGAGCTATCGAACCCGACGGCCTTCCAGATCTGCTTTCCAATAACCAGCCTCAGTGGTGTTTGTCTGCAGCAACTGCATCAGCGACGAATGCACAGCAAACAGTACTGCAGCGAACAAACACACACACACCTGTCCTTGATTAGAATTAGGCTAATAAGTGACCACAATATCAAATTTTTCATTCTGTGGAGAAGAGGACCGATTCCTGCAGATTTAATGGACCCCAAGGGAACATGTGAACCGATCCGCTCGGAAACGTCAGTGCTAGAGAGCCAGCCAAAACTTAGCTCCGACTATGGTCCACCAGATCATCTGATGGCATCCAACAGTGTATAGTTATGCGAATCCATATTGAACGATGTTAGTACGCTATCATTTTGCAAAATCAAGCACAAAAATCAAGTTCGACGTTCGTTTCAGCCGTTTTTATCCTTCATTCAAAAACCAAACCTCCTGGCGGGTCCTTCTTGAATTTGCATAGTCACAAAATAAATGCTATTGCACAATGACTTACGTATTTGGCCACCCTCATATCAGACCTTGGGCCTTCGTCCCTTTGGACCCATGAAATGAGCATCAGACGGACAAAATATCCAAGAGATGAAGGTGTTGTGTCGGTCAGTGAAGCACACACGCACAAACTGATACAATCACTGCTAACAAGACAGGTGCATGCCCCGTTTGTTCATGATCTGTATCGCTTGTTTTATTCCGCTCCTGACAAAGTGACATTTGCCGAACTGACATGAAATAAAGGAGGGTCAAAAGCACGAATCTACTCAGTATTCTCCGTTAGCATGTCGGCGGACAACAGTAGTTGACGAAACTCACCGCTGGACCAGAACAAAACATGAAAACACAACTCAAGTCTACAGGTAACTCTTAAATAGTGACAGTTTCACAGACGGGACACTCTGTTGGAAAGCCAACAACAGCTTCCCCCTAGCATACGACCAGTATAAACATAACTTATCTCGGAAAGAGGCTAAAGTATCCCATTTTTATCCCATAGGTTTATTTAACAAAAGTTTGGGGGAAATCGGATGGCAGTGATGACAAAACAGACCTGCTTACCCAAGCGATTGCAACTTTCAGTGTATCTTGAGATAAAAGTTATTCATTCACATGCAAGAATCTAATCCATTTCTTATATCAACGAAAACAACTATTATTTTTCTTGAAGGAAACTACTCACAAAATTGCTGAAAACTCTTCGACAGCCCACGACTGGTTTTGCCTTTTTGGGGCTCATCAGGTAGGCGCAGTCCCCGAGTTTCCGTCAACCTTATGTTCTACTTGAACCATTTTGTGACATCACTGTTGGTGCGAAGGGCCGTTTTCAGTGCGTGAGACTAGTTCAACTAACCCACCAAAGCGATGTTTTTCCGTAAGATGACTTCTTCTGGAATGAGCTCGATTATTCCAATAGAAGATGGTCTCTCTCACAGACAGTGTCATTACTAAAGTAGAACTTCATACCTTATGTTGCCAGTTCACAAACGAGCCGACTTCATCCGTGTGTGTCGAAAACAAATGTCCTTCAGTTATTTAACATAATTTATTAATGGTATTGTTTTTTTTCCAAGCGGTATCACTTTCTACTGTTTATGAAATGTAAATTCGTCATAGTTGTGGAACAAGTTCGCGGAAAAGCCAAGATAAATGCAATCCATGAAAATGGATGCGGTAAATTGATTACCTCTTTCGTCCATCATCGTGCTCTTCACCTTCATTTTCAGCCTCGGTCCGAGGAGCCCCCGGTGAAAGTTACTCGCCGATCTCATGAACCTCCTCATCAAGCCAAAAAAGCAGAATTGACAGACATTCCGCCTATCCAACTGGGTCCAGAATCCTTCAACAACTTTTCCTCCGTACCACCGAAGCAGAATACTGGTTTCTGGAATCCAACAACTCAAAAGGCGTATTTGGAAAAAGAATATCCGGGACAAATGCCGACCGCACCTCAGTTTACGCAATATCTTCATGCGCGCCGTTTACAGGAAGAATGTAACAACCGCAAACTTTACATCCCACAGCACCTCATGGTGCCCAATGTGAATGGGAAACGTAGTTTTTGTCAAGCCTTTGCAGAAAGGGTGCCTTGCGCAGTCAAAGGAACGCCATGTTGCGTCAAGCCTCACGCCATCTTGCCAAACCCCTTGGCGTGCATGTGCGGCGTTCAAAAGTGCCGTGCATTCGTGCAGCAATATTGTTGCTCTGGTACAAGCCACTCACAAACAACCCCAGGAGGCCCGTGAGTTGTTTTGTTTTACACACGCCAGTCACCGCTTCGTTCTGATTAGGTCTTATTCACCATGTTTCTCCTAGACAATTCGGGCGAAACTCATTAAAATCTGTCGGCAGAATGTGCAAGCATAATCTATTTTTTCCGACAGGCGAGGAGGGATTACGCACTACGTCGGAAACTACTTGATAGAATTCATTCCCAATATCTCCACACACACAAAAATCAGCCTAAGAGCACCGAGACTGAAGTGTGAGATGGTTAGGAAATCCTCTGCTAACATGATTTGATTACGGAGGGCAGTATTTAAAACCAGAATTGAACCACGTGTTGGGGACTGAAATCCTCACAAGTATCAACTCGGATGATCTGAAACTATTCTCCAAACAACTGAAGGATTTACTCTATTTGTTTCGTTCACATTGAGACTCCTGATGCCTCAATTCGCCTCAGCCATCAGTCGTTTCTTTTTGTACCTTAACTTTAAATCTTTTCTACTTTTTGTATCTCGGAAGTGTCCTTCTGTTGACGCCAAGTATGCATTTGCGTTACTTGAAGTCTTACTGAATCTTATCTTGAACTGTTCACTTGCTTCATTGACCTAACAAGGTAGCTTAACATCGAATACGTAACACGGTTACGAGAGGAAAGGGAGTGAAAATGTGCTACCCCATGGTACCTCATTAACTGGCAAGCTCTCAGAGATTGCAACTTCACTTCAGCGTAAGAATACATCTTCACCACACTCAGTTGTTTTCTCATCTGATTTTCTGTTGAATGTGGCTGACCGTCTTGTCTCAGTTCTATCTTTTCGATTTTGGTCACATGGAGCAGCCAAAGTGAGTAGTTTTATGGAATCTTTCAGTCTGTTGATCAAAACAGTCACCGGACTGTGTTTCGTAAACTACAGAGGAGTGACATGCAATAGGAACTACACTCGTTGCCCATGTATCTTCAGATTATAGGCTAGCACTATGCAACAGCCTCAGAATCAGGTCCCACGAGGAACAGCAAATCAGAGCACAGTACATTACACTTGTGAATCAACCGGGGACGATGACTAGCCAATCGGTCGGAAACACTTTCTGATTGGTTGAATACTTGGAGTTTCCAATGTTATCTCATTGGACAACAAAATTATCGTAATGGCTAAAAGTTGGTTTTAGATTTTTTTAAGACTGGTGGATTTCCACCTGGAGCTTGTTTGTTTACCACAATGAAGGATTTAGCATTCTTATCCATATTGTGTCATCAACAGGTGTGCAACATGTTCACTGGATCAATGCGCGAGCCACCAGAGAGCCTCAATCATTTGTGAACTACACCCGCATGTGAACCAAATATGGATAATGAAGAATAACTGGCACAGCAGTAACACCTGTCCACATAATGAGAGCACAAACACAACAGGTACACAGCCGGCGGCAAACCTACTGAGCGGCAGCAACGGAAGTGGAAGCAATGGCGTAACACCGGGGTCATGCTATCATCATGCTTGCCTGTACCACAGCAACAGGTGTAGAGTAGAGAACACGAATCCGTTTCCAACTTGCAAATGCGTGTCCAGTGTTAGTTCCATACCCTGTTGCTGCTCCGGTAATCCGACAACACCACTGATGAACACATTCAACTACGCCATATCGAATTGGTGCAATAACCAGCAAATGCTACCGCAGTATCCGCTCAACCATCTGAATGAGAACGGAATAAGTCAACGGGGAGGCGAAGGTGCCCCAAATGTTTTCTTTTCCGCGGCAATAAAGCCGGCAACGATACCCATGGTCAGCAACCCCATTCCAAACTTTGCGGCCGACGGGGGGAGGGTATGCACAGGTATTCAAGCACAGTCGAACTATCAAGGCCCACTTGCTGGTGATTTTCGAAACTGCGGTGAACCGATGGAAAATGGTTGGTTGTTTTTGTCTGATGTGTTTGTTTTTGGGATATATTTTCCGCAAAGTGTGCAGGGATCAAACGGTTGGTGCCACTCAACGCCGATTGGCCCAATTTGAAGTGATTTCAAATCCAGTTATTAAACTAATGTATTCATTTGTGGTTTATATACCTTGATTCATTAAAATTAGGAATTAATTTGTGGAAATACTTCAATCCACAAAACGAAGAGGTTCCCTTATATGCCAGGAGAAACTAGTTACAAGGTGGAACGAATTTTCCACGAAAGGAAACTACTCATAAGTTTACTGAAAACTCTTCGTCAGCAACCTTGTGAGTAGCTTCCTTTCAAGAAAATATACTGTAACGTCTCGGAGATCGTGCCAGTTGAAACATGAGGCGCCTTTTTGGGCGGCATATTTGTTTGAGGAATACCATCAGCGAGAGATTCAGTTGGGTCTCTCGTGGAAACCAAACTGACATGCAAACGAGTGTATTTGTCGGGACAAAAGTTTGTTTGACTTTCCACGCGACTAGCATTCAGTGTGGAACTGTTGACATTAACAGTTTGTGCGCGCTGAAGGCAAATTGAGTCCTGTTTGAAATATACTCATGGTGTCACGTGACACTTTAGCTAAGAGTTAGAAAAGTCGGTTTTGAGCAAATTTATTTGTCTTTTTGGCTGTAAAAAGCTGTGGGTTGATGGACTAAGTACGAGATTGCGCCTATCGATTGGAAACAATTCTACTAATGACATGGCCAAGTGTGTATTTGTGGAATGATAATGGAATGATAACGACCCCATTGTTGCCACCAATGTGTGTCTCAGTTGTACAACTTTTCGTTTCAAAATGATACAAGTATACACTGTTTTATAACTATATTTTTTACTTCCAGTTGTCCTCCCATTAGAGGTGTACGAAACAAAATTCTTGGCTCACCCACATTCAAGTCTCCCTCCGGAAATAATCACCAACACCCCCGCAAAACCGACCACACAGCCCAAGCAACCGTACCCATCTACTACCGAGGGCCTACTCAAACAGACGCATCGTTTCGCAAAATTTGAACACCTGCAACCAGTGAGCTCAAAGGTTCTCAGGCCGCCATCTTCACACAATGAATCGGCTGAGGGACAAACAAACGACCTTACTGTAAGTTCATCTGAACAGGCAACTTGATGATAGTGACTAAAAGCCTAGTTATTAAAAGGTTTTTTTCCACTGAATAGTCAGCAAGTCCATCCGAATTTGTTTTTGCTGGCTTTTTACTATTGTAAATTAACTGACAGTATGGTCATTGGCTTGCTCGCTGAGCTTGGCAATTGGATTGCAAACGTTTCATCACCAGTCGAGACGACATCATCAGTGCGTTACTGGGGAGCGTGGTGGTGCGTAGCGGTGGATAAGTGGTTGTGCGTTGACTAGTGTTACGCGTGTGTTAATATACGTGCTGCTAGCGATTTGTTGTCCAGTCGGGCGGTTCCACTGGTAACGCCGTTGTCCTGTGTCCCCATTCGCCGATGCCCACGTGACCTTTGAGCTTGGCATCCCATGCCGTCGTAATCTGGTTGATGCTGGAGTGACCTTTGTCCTTTCGACTCCAGGCTTGTGACCATGATTGATTTGCCTCCAAGGCGTTCCTTGTTTCTGTTTATGAATCCAATATTCGGTCCTCCTTGATGATGATGTCACCTCGATTGGTGATGAAACGTTTGCAATCAGATTGCACAGCTCAGCTCAGCGAACAACCCAACGACCATCCACGCTACCTGAGCTACCGACATTTTTCTCCATAGAAGATAGCTGATTGTCGAAAAAGTAGTTTGGAAATCAGCGCTCTTGGTTTTTCCGTTGTGGAATCATATCTTCTCCAAAATTTTTAATGTCAACAGAAAGACAGGAGACCAGCTGGCAGAATAACATAAGGAAGGAAGCATCTGTCCTGTCCCGTATTGTGTATTCATAGCTTTCGAGGTTAGCAACAGGAAATAAAACGGTATCTGTCCGATCGTATCAGTTCCCCGCACGAGTTGCAGTCATCATATCAAAACCTATCTGCATGAGATCCACATTTCGGTTTTTGGGCCACATTTGACTTGGTTACTTCTGAGTGAAATAATATTAAAGCATGTAGTTGGCTTCGTTCATCTCCATGGCAAAAGTCAATGGGCGAACTGACAGTTGAATCAATGGCTGCATTGAAATCGGCGCTAAGGCGGATGAAGCAGCTTCATGCGTCACCGCTGTATACACATGTTGATGGTGCTAAAGATCAATGCGTTTCGGGCCGGTTGAATCGGTATCGAAAGGTGAGAAAGCATCTGCTATTCTGGCAGCCTATCATTACTGCACATTCGATTAGGCAGTACCAGAAACTGGTGCCAGTCACACGAGAGACTCATTTTGATTGCTGGTTTGCTTAAACTATGCCCTTTGTGTTTTCCAGTATTTTAGAGTCAGTTGTTTGAAAACGATGGAGTAGCTTCCGCCAGACTTGCTGCTACACATAGCAGAAGCAAATCTGTCGGTTGTCGCCATCAGGTCATTGGTATGCCTTGAAGATGACCCAGTTACTTTTGGAGGACTATGCTGACGGTAAGTTTTTTGCTGTGATTGGCGCGGATAATCTCGTGCGAACGGCGGAATCTTGGCAAATTCAGCCAAATAAAACGAAAACTGACAATGTCATGCTGTTTTCTTGGCTGACACCGTGATTCGATGGAGATCATGAGGCACTTCAAAATGTACCATCTTTCAAAGTTTACCGAAGCACCACAATCAATAACAACCAAAGACCGGATATACACAAAGGAGGACAAAACGAATAGAATATTTCACAACTTGAGGCTTCCTCAACAGGTTTGTTGCACGAACAGCTGTCTCATCCTGCCTATACCAGAAGAAAGCAAGACTAGTGGAGATATTGTCTCGGCGGTTTATCGGATAAAAAAGTTCAGAGTTATCTATACAAACACAGTTTACGCTGCCCGCCAAGCAGTAATGAGATTCATGCTGTCACCTTTGTAGTTAGACTGTCAAGTGTGTACTTGCTGACAAGCAAGTTACCATAAGAGCTAAGTCTTCTGTTGGTTTTTTGAACGTGCGATCGTTAGCAGTCTATTGTTTACGGTTCTAACGTTTAGGTTGAGAGATTTTATGCCGGTCTTGTAGTCAGGAATGCATAGATAAATAGAGAATCTACCAGAATGTAAACCTCTGAATTGCGATGTATTGTGTGGTTTGCGGAACAATCGGTTTTCCACTTCCAACTACCTTCAACTCATGTGAATCATTGTTTCATAAACAAAGCCGTGTAACCCCTTAACAGACATGGAGCAATTGTTGTCCTTCAAGAACCGTCACGAATATAGTCCCTTGGTGACAAATCAGGTGATTGTCAGCGTAACAGTATGTTTGGACTCTGTCCGCGGCCACTGGACCGGTTACACCATAGATAAGGTACACGCATGCGTAGCTGTTCCCCGACAATCAGAGCACTTTGCGGTGACCAATCGGTATAGTTGTTGTCAGAAGACAGAATGCATATGATGAATAGAGTATGTGAATACTTGTAGTTCATGTGTATAGTTTACATACACTGTGATCGCATTTATGAATAGAAATCATCTATTACCTTATTTAACGCAGCTTCTTATGCAGTGTAAAGAAAATCAACTCACCCGTTCTTCTACGGTTGCGGCGACAACAAGCAGTGCATCCAGAGATGACATCTCGAAAAGTACGGCTGACTATAGCAAGCGGACTGCGTCCAAGAAGTGTCGAGAGGCGGCGAGAGCGCGGAATTCTCAATTTACCGCTAGGAAGAATCTACTGAAGGTTTAAAACAGTTGAACTCCATCTACCAATGTTTTGTTGCAGTAAGTTTCGTATTTTTGGCCCAGTTGGTTGCGCACTCTACACAATCCGGCGACACCTGACGTAAAACTACACTCAGTGATCATGTATTTGTAGAACTGAACTGCTTGCGTCAACAGAGGAAATGAACAGTGTTGTATAGATCGCTCATCCACCCAATCAAACGGTATCGGCGTGGAACCCGAAAATCCTTTTTGCAGGACAAGCTAATCACTAGGGCCGTGCAACAGGCTTAGGTAAAAATTCAAACCATAGTTTTTGTACGTCATAGTACAGACGATTTTTTTCAAGCAATACTACAGGCAACCAAAAACGGAGATACTGACAAAACAGACTGAAACTTGGTGGAAGAGACCATTTCCCCTTTCTCAAGGGTAGCTTCCCTTCGAGAAAACTCTTGTTTTACACTAGTCCTCAAGTGTTAAAAATTTGAAAAGTCTTCCCAAATTAAGCCTTTTTCCTCTGTTTTGGGTCTCAAAACTCCTCGGGGCAACCCAAAAGAAATAGACCCAATCGGCAAGATTTGACCCAAGGTTTGTTAATTATTTTCTCATTTAATCACGATACCAAAAGCAATTTGATCTCATTTGTGAACATTTCCGGCTCATTTCCGCTCTCTTGAGTTCTCTCATAGAAAAAACCCAAAGCCGAATAGCATTTGATGACACAACTTTTTTCACTTGATACTGGGTGAAATATCACCCGGTGATTTCGTATTCTCTAGGGTCTTACTTGGTCGCTGGGAAATAGCGCTGAGGAAGAGCCAGTCGATGCAGTATTCTGAAGCTTTGTTCGACTTTTATGGTCCTTCTAGAAGAGAAAACATAATAGTAAATGAATGAACGCCTTCAAACACACAGCTTCAGAAGAAAAAAGCCGGCTTTTTTAGAACAGCCAAAAAACACAGATATACAGTTGCCCCGCTTTTTCCCAGAATTTAAACTCGCGATATGTCACAATAATCAATTTAAACTGTGCTCTTTTCCTATGGCCAGTCCTCTTTGAAATGTCTCATTCTAAATATTTGTTGACGACAAACGCTACCGTGGCATTTTGGAGGGAATTGGATCTCTTCAGAGAGGAATCATCGTGTAGGGTTAGTAAATTCAAGAACAAAAGTGGTTAGAATCTATGGAACCACTAAATGTTTCAGCCTAAGACATTGAATGGGCGTATCAAAGCAACAAAAAAGCTCTGTTAGGAGCCTCCATCAATTATGGGTGGGTGCAGGATTTGTAAAATGAACGCTCCCATCACTCCTGTTTGAACACAGGGGTCAGTCCGGTGAGTTCCGACCAAACGGCGGAAGCCTTAGACTCGATTTCCGCTCTTGGAATAGCTGGTCAGCAAGGCGCATCCTTGGCCTTGCCGTGGTTTGAACTCCGGACATCTGACTCGCGAGCCGAGTGTGTTACCACTGCTCCACCAGCGCACGTTGGACGCATCGATTTTTCACGACTGAACGGGCGAATGTGTTCACGCTTGAGCGATGTGATTGGTATGCCCGACCGGTCGAACAACGACCCAGTAACTATCCCGGTTGTGCGGATTAGTTGACTCGCCTGTCAGGACTTTTTAGTTAGGTCGCGCCACAGAGGCTTGATACGTGCTGGACACCCTTTCGTTGTAGTTGTGGCTGTTTGCGGGATTAATAGAATGCACACAGCATTGTTATTCTAAGACGTTTGCTGAAGTGCGATTGATTAACATCCACCTACCAGTAGAGCGCCACAAGAAAGTACGCCAGACATTGAATTATTTACCGCTCTACTTGTTCCACCTTCTGACAAAATCTGTACACACAAAACGGCGAGGTCGCTATAGGACCCCATGTCATAGTTGGGATATTTGTAGCCAAAGATTGTACGTCCATCACCTGTCAGGCAAAGAGATCCACACAATGGTGCACTCTACCTGCGTAGGGTTAACGAATACCACACAATTCTGAAAATATTCAACCATATTCTCTCCCGACTCCGCATTATTCAATACATGCGGATGTCAATATAACTAAGACACCTTACAGTGTTCTTCCTGTGAGTCGTCCAAAGTCGTTCAACTGTAACACCCCCTCGATGCCTAGCTGCCATACCACCCGAAGGAAGCACGAGGCCTGTGATACTGCCAGGTTGCCCAAGCCTAGACAGGGGAAGTCGAGAGGCAGAGGTCGGGTTCGAACCCAAAAGCCTGCTTCTCGTTTGTCCTGTCTCCGAGCGAATTTTCATTAGTTCACTCTGGTGGTTCCTTGCCTTCCGGTCTATGGTCCGGTGTTTTACCTCGCCTACAACTGTTGATCATTAACTAGACTCCATTCTATGTAGGTAATACACTACTCATAAGGTTGCTGAAAATTCTTTGATAGACCACGACGGGTTTCGCCCTTTTCGGGGTTCATCAGTTAGGCGAAGTCCCCAAGTTTCCGTCAACCTTATGTCTTACTTGAACCCAAATTGCACGGAACTAGAGGAATACACCCGTTTTCGAGAGACTCGACTGGAATCAAGCTGAATCTCTCGTTTATGATGTATCGCGATATCTCGAATACCGTTCCAAATGAAACATGGGGCGGCCTGGTACAGCACATACAGTTGCTTGGAAACATCGTAAATGAGATTCAGCTTGATTCCAGATGAGCCTCTTGCAAAACCAAATTTATTTGCAAATGACTGTATATTCTCTAGACTGCCTTCTGTTATCGTTTCGGGTCATATGAATTTTTCAACTGTTCCCTTGTTACCTTCATTCTAGGTCGAGAATTTTGGACCTCTCACACTCAGTGGATTCGTTGTTCCAAGCAGGTTGTGGCAACGATTTTCCAGTGGAAACCGTTAGAGTCCAATCGCCTGTGCACATTTTTTACCCGTCATACTATTAAGAGAGCTCACCTTAGACTAAATATTGCAATACCAATTTATCATA